TGATTTCATTGTTTTGACTTTTGTTTTCGATTATTTGTTGTTAGTATGTAGAAATACAAGTGATTTTTGTGTTTTGACTGTATTCTGCAACCTTACAGAACTCACTTATTATTGGTTATAGTAGCTATTGTAATTGCCTAGGATTTTCTCCATTAACAATCATGTTGTATGGAAAGCAATTTTACTTCTTTTCCAATATATATGCCTTTTATTTTTTTCTTACCTTATTGCACTGGTTAGAGCCTCTACTTATGTTGAATAGAAGGGGTGAGAGCAAATATACTGGCCTTGTTCTTAATCTAGGGGGAGAACATTCTGTCTTTTATAATATATATGATGTTAACTGTAGGTATTTCACAGATGTTTTTACTAAGTTGAAATTGTCTTAAGTTCTTAATTTGCTAAGAGTTCCTATCACGAATGGCGTTGAATTTTGTCAAATCCTTTTTCTGCACCTTTAAGTTGCATTTCTAGTTAAGGTTTCATTTCTTGTCTCTTAAAATTGTATTGATTGGGTTTTCAATATAAGCCACTTTGAATTTTTGGCATAAATCCCACTTGCCATAAATACATTATCCCTTTTATAAATATTACTGGATTTGATTAGCTAAAATTTAAAGATTTTTGTATCCATGTATCTGAGAGGTATTGACATCCCCTTATTTTCATATAATTCTGGTTTTGGCATCAGGGTAAGGGTGGCCTTAAAATATGAGTTAAAAGTTTTTCACTCTCTTTTTTCTTAGATAATTAATTTTTTTCCTGAAATGATTGGGAGAATTCACTAATGAAGCCATTTAGATCTGGAAGTTTTTTCTTTCTTTTTTTTGTGGGGAGATTTTAAATTACAAGTAAAATTTCATTGGTTAATATAGGACTATTCAGATTAATTACTCTGTTTCTTCTTGAGTAAGTTTTGATATATCGTGACCATAGAATTTTTCCATTTCTTTAAGTCCTCATTTGCCTTTTAATATCTCTAAAGTTTGTAGTGATAGCCTCTTTTTCATTTCTGATTTTGGTAATTTGTGTTTTTCTCTCCCTTTCCTGGTCAGTATTGCTGGAGGTTTATCTGTTTTAATGGTCTTTCCAAAGAACCTGCTTTCGGCTACATTGAACTTTTCTGTTCTTCTGTTTCATTTTATTGATTTGTGCTCTTAACTTTGTTATGCTTTTCTACTTCTTTTGGGTTTAATTTGTTTTTATTTTTCTAGATTCTTAATATAGAAGCTGGATGCAGGTGTCAGTAAACTACAGTCTATGGGCCAATACAGCCTCCTACTTGTTTTTTTTCAGTGGATCATGAACTAAGAGTGGTTTTCCCATTTTTTTTAATGGCTAAGAAAGTCAAAAAAGAGGAATGATTTGTGACATGAAATTAAATTAAATTCAGATGTCAGTGTCCATAAGTTTTTTTGGAACACAGCCATACTCATTTGTTTATGAGGCTGTGGCTGCTTTTGTGCTAGAACAGCAGAGGAGTTGCGACTGACTCTCTGGTACCCTCTTTCTTTTGCATTGCTGCTTGCTGCACTATAGTCACAGTGGTTCAAGCACACAGTACTTGTCACTGTATTGTGACATTTTACTTTATTATTAGCATATACCCATCATGTCAAAATAAGAAAAGATTAGAAAAATGGACTTGACATGTTATATACTTTTAAAGCACAGTGGAGTGTGAATTATTAGATGACAAAGCACTGTGATTATTATGCAGTAATTCTGTGGCTGTGCTAAAGAAATATGGTATACACTGATATTACCAGATTAACCATTCATCACAATATTCCCATCTTATGGGAAAGGAATGGCCAGAAATTAGAAAACTTAAAAAGGAATGTCTTTCTTACCATAGCAGAATTTCTTTGTAAAAAAGGAAAAAAATCAGGCAGCACCCAAAGTAAGTTTCTGAGTGTCTCATTTGTTAGCTAAGCAAGGAATCATTTACTTATGGTGGCTTAAATAAACTGTGTTTGATTGTAGCAGCCAAAGATAACTGTCTGGAGAAAATAAAGACTATTAATCTTTGGGTGAGAATAGTTGCTGAAAGAGTTGAGGATATCAATAATTAATTAAACAATAAGGCAAATGATTTTGGTTGGTTTTCCTTGGCTCCTGATGAATTGAAATATTAATAATACAGCTCAATTATTAATTTGAGAAGACAATGTTAAGTTTGAAGTTACTAAAGAATTAATTTTCATGAATAGTGTTCATGGAATAACTAAGACAATATTTACAAAAAGTTGAGAAAACACTTAATTCTATACAACCTGAAGTGGAATCTGCTAAGATGTGTTATAACTGATGGTGGTAAAAATATGTACAGAACAGAAAAAAGGCTTAGGTGAAGAAATTTACAAAGCTGTGAAAATGTAAAGTGGTTAAAGTCTATGGTTATTCGTTGTTTTATCAGTGGGTACTTTTTAGAGAATATTTGAATCTGTCCTGTGATTGGGAACCAGTAGTATCTCAAGACTCAAGAGTGTTGCTTTTGTGGACTTATCTGTCAGTTCCATGAATTCTTGTCAGAAATAGAAGTTGAAAATACTTGCCTATCAAACAGCAGTTCAGTGACTTAGTAGATGTAAGGTATATTATAATCTTTTGAATTTAGGGCTAATTTGGAATTTTCCTGAATAAGAATTGTAAAACATTATTATAGAACACTGAATGGCTTTGGAAATCATGTTTTTGCTGCAGACTTGATAATGTTTCTTAGTGAATTCCACTTCAAATTACAAGGCAAAACAGTGCTTATATGCAAACTAAAAGTTATTTCAATGCCAACTAATGTTTGAATCATGAGTAATATCAAGATGTTTTATGTAGCTTTCCATGCTGTCAGAAGTTATTGCAAAGAATTGTGATATCCATTCCTATCCAGATATGCAGTAGATATATTTTCTGTGCTCCAGGTACAGTTTCAGCAGCATTTTTCAGAATTTGATCCTATGCAGTAGATATATTTTCTGTGCTCCAAGTACAGTTTCAGCAGTATTTTTCAGAATTTGATCCAAGTGCAAAGGAAATTTCTGTATTACAAAATCCACTTAACTGTGTTATTGGAGGCACTTACACCTAACTTTCATTGGAACTGATTAATACACAATGTAATGATATGCTAAAAGACAAGTGTTGAGAGAGGAGTAAGTCTTAAAATGCCTTCCAGACAAGGAATATGCTGAATTGAAACCATGTGCTGTGATATGATATCAGTATGTGACAGAAGCTGTCTTGGTAAAACGATATTTTCAAGCATGAAATACATAAAATCTTACTTAAGAAACAACATTAACATACGTATATTTGCAGTTGACCCTGATGATAGGGAACACTAACTTTGAATCCCAACTAAGTGAAATTCTATTCTTCCCAAGAGTTGCATTCTTATTAGTAGGCCTGTTTTACAAAAGGTTGTACTCAACTATTATTACTATGTTATTTTGAATTTCATCAGTAAAAATTGTGGAAAATTTTGTCTCACTATGCAAGTACTTACATAATATCTTCAGTTTTGTCTGTTGGCCCTCAAAGCCTAAAATATACTGGCCTTTTCCAGAAAAAGTTTGCTGACCCTTTCTTTTCTTCAATATATTTTATTCTGGATAGTTGTGTACTTGCACATATTACCGAATTAATGTTTCTACCTCACAGTGACTTTAAGAGCAAATAATGTATGGAACCCCTTTGTATGGATTTATTAATTACAGCTTATTCACTGTAATATGATCTTACTGCTTTTTGTTAACGTTATAATTTGAGGAAGAGCCTTTCCATGGTCGTCCTGTATTTTGTGGGTAGGTTGGAATGTTGAAATTTCTTCATGTGTGAGAGTAGTATACAGTTAACTGAAGTAGGATTATCAACTAACAGATGCTCCTTTCAAGGAACCTATGCCGGACGAAGGGGCAAATAATATGCCCAAACAGCTTTATTTTCAAGAATGTACTAAAGTCAGTTGAAATGCCTAGAACTAGATGTGGTTAATTTTAAGGAAGAGTTTTTAACTCCTCAAGAAGGGGAAGAGAGGATGAGCCAAGCTCCCCACTTAATTCTCTCAGGAAGGCATGGAGAAATACTTTGATTTTCTTTACTAGGTGTAATCATTGATTTACTATTCCAGGAAAGAAGAGTAGGGCACTTTGGACTCTTTCCTAGATGTCATTCTTCTCTATCTCTGGACTTGCTACTCTTTGTAGTTTTGGTTGGAAAGTATCCTTGCTAGAATCCTTGGAAGATTCTGGGAGACTGTTGGGGAACCTGGAAGAAAAGCCAGAATTACTTAGTCTGGAGGGTTTTGGTGGAAACCAAAGGTTCATATGATATTCTTCCTAGGATCCTGTAATGGAAAAGGTTAATGATAGCTATTTGCACAGACAAAAAATTGTGGAGAATGATAGGATCATAAAGTAATTGAGCAAAAAGTTTGCTCAGGTAGTTTAATTCACAGGTTTTTGCTTAGATATAACTTGTGTGGGACAATTAAATGCATATAAATGATACACCTGGACACCTGTAGGCTGTTCCTTTAATATGTGTTCCTTAAGTATGTTGTATTGTTCTTTGCCCCCAAAATTTTAGAACTAATTTCTGCAGTTTTAATTGGTGTCAGTGGGAAAATACAATGTCATATTCATATATTTATTTTTTCAATTTCAAGAAGAAATAGAATAAAGCAAGTTCATCTTTAGTATTGCAGCTTGTAATTATAAATGAGCAAGAAAAACTAGTGTCCATTTTTTTGTACTGTAACATAAATCAGTAGTTCAAAGTTATGTAATTTCTCTCCTTAGGTGTTCTTTTGTGATCTCTTTTGTATTTGCATAATTAGAAACTTTGTTCAGTATTACAAGATACATTCAGATAACCTCAAAGAATGAAAGAACCTTTTTGACTTTCCAAGTAGTTTTAAGCAGATATCTTAAAGGATAATAAAAAATGTTTCAAAATGATTGTTGCAAACTTCATAAAAAGACATTATATTTTATGTGTAGGTCTCTGAAAGAAGATGAATTTGGCTGAGATTTGTGACAATGCAAAGAAGGGAAGAGAATATGCACTTCTTGGAAATTATGACTCATCAATGGTATATTACCAGGGGGTGATACAGCAGATTCAGAGACATTGCCAGTCAGTCAGAGACCCAGCTGTCAAAGGCAAATGGCAACAGGTAAGATCACATTAAAGGTAAAGATCAGATTCAGCAAATGAGGGCAATAGTGTATTATACTTGAACGATGAAAGTTTGGGATTTTGTAAAGAGTTCTTATTTGTCTATTTACCGAAATATATTTAAAATATGCTTTGAATAATTTTTTGTATTGCCTGGTTGATATTTTATGTATTATTTTTGATAGTATACTTCATGAGACATATTTCAAAGATACTTACTTCTAATTGAATCTGCTTATAATTAAAAAAATTTTTATGGTCAGTCACCTGATTTGTTTTTACAAATTTTTGAAACAATTTATTTCTATTTGCTCTTTCTCCTTTCATTGTTTTGATCAATTTCATAAAACTTCTCTTTAAGAAAGTTTCCTCTTGTTTTGAAAGATTCCTTACAAATACAAAGGAGTCAGTAATGTAATAAAAAAGCAGTAATATATTTGCTATGTCTTTTGACTATACAACTTGATTATATAATAGTAGCTAAAAACTTGAATTATAATTTCCCCACTTACTTCCAAAACTTGAAAACCCTTTTAAAATTAAAAGTACAAAGTCAAGTATATCTTTGATGTTTCCATTTTATGTATTAAAGCCTTTCAAGTGTTCTTACTAATTTTTCCACTAGTCAAAAATTGATGTTTCATGAAGTTTTCAGGGTAAATTTGGCTTATTTTCTGACTTAAGTGTTGCCAGGTTATGTTGAGTGAGAACAGTATACTTGCTCTAACTCAAGTTGAAAATTTTAGTTGTGTTCTTCTATCCTGCATACTAGCCGCAGGCAAGAATGGTTTATTAATGTAGCATGGAAATATTTTTAACATGCTCTTGTGTTAAAAGTGACCATTTCTACTCATATATTTCTACTATGTTTCTTTCCATTAAGTTCTGAAATTTCATTTCTCCCAATACCAGGTAATTGCATATATTAGCAGTTGGGTTTTATCTAGATTTTTCTTTGGTTCTGCAACTCCTTTATGCGTTCCTTTGTATATATTACTCAAGATAAAGTTAAGGGGAAGTTTCTTATGCTCTGCTTTACAGTAAAGTGTGCCTTTTGGTTAAAAAACCTAGAATTTGTTAAAATGAATTTATAAGTGTAATTTTTAAAATGTCTGTGTGCCTTTGAAAATTAGTTTGGGCTAAATGTTTGAAAACACACGAATTTCCACATAGTAGGTGCTCAGTGAAATTCTTTAAATACAGGAAATCTTTGAGCTAAGAATAAACTTTTTCTAGGACTTAAAATAAATTTAAAAGAGATCAGAAGATTCAGATTTTAGGCAAAGGAGAATTTAGAAAAAATTGGAAATGGGTAATTCATGATATTATGCCACTTGAGATTTTCAGATACTCATGACAGACATTTCATCTTTAGTGACACTGGGAATAGGAAACCCTGGTGAAGATTTTGGCTGACAGTGTCTTGGAAGCCATTTACAAATATATTAAAAGAATTTAGTGTAACATTATAGATTTCTTGGGATAGTTAACTTATTACTGACATAGTTGGTTATTTTAAGTTATTTAATGGTCATCACATTCTTTGGTAGAAATAGAGTTTCATTATGAAAAACATATAACTACGTCCCCTATGAAAAGATATGTAAGTAATGTCTTTTTTCAAACCAATTCCTGCCCTATCTATATTACTTTAAATAGTTCTTTGTTTTTTGAATATGTTTTAATAACTCATTTTACATACTTTAAGTGACATTGAGAAAACTTGCATTCTATAGCAATTTATTATTTGTGATTTATATAATCTTAAAACAGTTCCTGGTGTGAATGCTATTTTCTTTTAAGGTTCGGCAGGAATTATTGGAAGAATATGAACAAGTTAAAATTATTGTCAGCACTTTGGAAAGTTTTAAAATTGATAAGCCCCCAGACTTCCCTGTGTCCTATCAAGATGAACCATTTAGAGATCCTGCTGTTTGGCCACCCCCTGTACCTGCAGAACACAGGTAAATGGGACTTTATATTCTCTTTAGGTACTTCCATAGTTCATTGATATTCAGAGTGAAAAGAGTGAAACTTCATTTGAACAAAGTATGAAAAAGTATTTTGGGGGGCAGGCAAATTTTATACCTGTTTATAATTTTCGCTCTTATAGGCTTATAGTTTGTATTTGATCAAAGACTGAAGTAAGTCAGTTATCATATATCTTGCTTTTAGAATGTTTTATTACTTTAATCATAATAGAAACATGCTAGTCCTAAAAGTCATCCACTGAGCAAGGTCTTTTAGGTTTCATAATACCAGCATCAAAACTTTGATGGCTTTTTTGTTTTAAAATGTCTTTGCTTTAGAAGATACAATTTTAGGTAAAACGGTGGACAAGTTGGATTCATCTGGTTAGGCCTACAGCCAGTTTCCAGAGTCTTAGTATAGAAGGAACTTTACCATTCCTTGAGGGTTAAAGGTCAGATTCTCTAGTGTGGCACATAAGGCTCTAAGTTAATTTCCCTGGAGCCCAGCCCATGCATCATCTACATTAAACCTCTCTTATTCTTTCCTGTCTCCTTGTCTTTGCACATTGTTCTTCAAGGAATACACATAATACCATTTTCAACAACTCATATTCACTCTTTAAGTCTCAGCCCAACTGTATTTCCTTTTTGTAACCTTTTTTAGTTTGCCCAGGCATTACAATTTGTTCATAGGAGTTATCATGTTGCATTTCTTGGTTTCATCACAAGATTAAGAGCTTTCCAAGGGCAAGGACCATAGTTTATATATACTCAAATAGATAATGCAAACTTCCATTGCTAACACAAGTTTGGCACATAGTGGGCATTCAACCAACATTGAATAGAAAAGGCCATTAATTCCGCAAGTGAGGAACCTAAGGCCTTAGAGGCCCTGGCCTGTAAATTAGGGCAGACCAGGGTCTGAGTTTAGGTCTTTCAGGCATTCAGTGCTCTTGATTGTAAAGTGGTATTGCGGCCAGAGTATTGCATCACAGAACATAAGTTTCCCTCTGGTCAGGAGCTGTGATCATGTGTTTTACTTCTTGATCTCTTGAAACTTCCTAAAAGCATTTAAAAGTTTGTGAAAGTGGTTAATTTCTTCCTTCAGGGTTTTTTCCACTGACTTTCAGATAATTTTATAATTCTCATCGTAAAAACACTAGTTGATGATTCTTTTCTAGGGTCTACAGCAATATAGTTCTTCCTCACCTTGTAACCACCTTCAGGTGTTTTGGGTTAAGGTAATCATTACTCCTTAAAAGGCAATTTTTCAAGTCATAGGATTGTTACCATGGAAGTTCCAAAGTAAATACTGAATAAAAGAAATAATGGCATTTTGATCTATCAGACCTTGAAAATTTTGTGTATATATAATAAAATACCTGATTTTTTTTCCTGAAAGTCATTAATTTTGAAATATACATTTAGTTTAAAGCTAAAAGCTGACAATAATTTTATTTTTATTTGGATATAATTGACATATAACATTGTAATTTTAAGGTGTACAGCATGTTGATTTGACATATATTGCAATATTATTATTATGGTAGTATTAGCTAATATCTCTGCCATGTCACATAATAAGCACTTCTTTTTTGTGGTGGGAACAATTAAGATCTAGTTTTTTCACAACCTTGAAGGATATAATACAGTTTTCTTGTGTATAATCACTATGCCATGCATTAGATTTCCAAGACTTTATCTGCTGGTTGCAAATTTGTACCCTTAAACAACATGTCCTCAATTTCCCCATCTCCCAGCTCCTGGTAACCACCATCCTACTTTCTGTTTTTATAAGTTGGGCTTTTTTAGATTCCACATATAGATGATATCCTACAGTTTCTGTCATTCTTCGTTCGACTTGTCTTACTAGTATAATATCCTCAAAGTCCATCTGTGGTTTTAAAAATGTCAGTATTTCCTTCTTTCTTGTGGCTGGATAATACAGCATTGGATATATGTAGCACATCTTTATCCATTCATCTTTTGATGAACACTTAGGTTGCTTCTGTACCTTGGCTATTGTGAAAAATGCTGCAATGACCATGGGAGTATGTATATCTTTTTGGTAATCCTGTTTTCATTTCCTTTGGATATATACCCAGAATGGTATTGCTGGATCATACGGTGGTTCTATTTTAACTCTTTTGAGGAATGTCCATATAGTGGGCGCACTGGTTTACATTCCCACCAACAGCGCATGAGGGTTCGCTTTTTTTCACATGCTTGCCAACAATTGTTTTTGTCTTCTCGATGATAGCCATTCTAACAGCGATGAAGTTTTCATTGTGGTTTTGATATGCATCTCCCTTATGACTAGTAATGTTGAGCATCTTTCCATGTACCTGTTGGCCATTTGGATGTCTTCTGTGGAAAAATGTGTATTTAGTTCTTCTGTCCATCTTTTAGTTGGGTTTTCTTTTGTCATTGAGTTGTATGAGTTCTTTATATATTTTGGGTATTAACCCTTATCCAGTATATGGTTTGAAAATATTTTCTCCCATTCAGTAGGTTGCCTTTTCATGTTTTTGAGTGTTTCTTTTGCTGTGCAGAAGCTTTACAGTTTGATGGAGTCCCACTTGTTGAGTTTTGCTTTTGTTGCTTGTGTTTTTGGTGTCATATCCAAAAAATCACAGCCAAGACCAGTATCAAGGAGGTTTCTGTTTTCTTCTAGGACTTATGGTATCAGATGTTATGTTTAAGTCTTTCTAATCCACTTGTTGTTCATTTCTGTGAGTGGTGAAGATGGGAGTCCGGTTTCACTTTTCTGCTCGTGGCTGTCCAGTTTTCTTGACACCGTTTGTTGGAGAGACTATTCCTTCCCCATTGGGTGTCCTTGGTTCCCTTGTCAAATACTGGTTGACCATAAATGCAGGGGTTAATTTCTGGGTTCTCTCTTCTGTTTCTTTGGGCTATGCGTCTGTTCCGTGCCAGTCGTACATAATACTATTGTAGCTCATAGTTGAACTGACAGTTTGAGATTAGGAAGATGATGCCTTTGGCTCTGTTGTGTCTCACGGTTGCTTTGGCTCTTTGGGGTCCTCTCTGGTTCCACACAAATTTTAGGATTGTTTTTTCTATTTCTGTGAAAAATGCCTTTGGAATTTTGCTGGTTGTACTGAATCTGTACATGGCTTTGGGTAATATAGACATTTTAACAATACTGATTTTCCAGTCCATGAACATGAGATATCTTTCCATTTGTTTGTATTTTCTTCAATTTCTTAAAGTCATGCAGTTTTCATCGTATAGATCTTTTGCTTATTTGGTTAAATTTATTCCTAAGTATTTTATTCTTTTTGATGCTGTTGTGAATGGGATAGCTTTCTTTATTCCTTTTTCAGATGTTTCATTGGTAGTACTTAGAAACACAACTGATTTCTGTATGTTGGTTTTATATCTGCAACTTTACTGAATTTGTTGGTTTGTTCCAACAGTGTTTTTGTTGGGTCTTTAGGGTTGTCTGTATATAAGATCATGTCATCTGCAAATAATCACAATGTTTGATGCTGCTTTTCTGATTTGGATGCTTTTCCTTTCTTTGTTCTGCCTAATTGTTCTAGCTAAGACTTCCACTACTATGTTGAATAAGACTGGTGTTTCTAATCTTAGAGGGAAGATATGAATTTTTCACTGTTGAGTATAATGTGGGGTTGGTGTATATAACCTTTATTATGTTGAGATATGTTCATTCTATACCCAATTTTTTGAGGTTTGTATCATGAAAGGATGTTGTATTTTGTCAGATACTTTTGCTGCATCTATTGATATGATCACAGGATTATATAGTCTTTCATTTTATTAATGTGGTATATCACATTTATTGATTTCAATATGTTTAACCACTCTGGCATCCCAGAAATAAATCCCACTTGGTCCTAGTGTATAATCTTTTTAATGTATTGTTGAATTTGGTTTGCTGGTATTTTTGTTGAGAATTTTTGCCTCTGTATTCAGTAGGGATATTGGCCTGTAATTTTCTTTTCTCTTAGTGATCTTATCTGACTTTGGTATCTGTAACGCTGGCCTCATAAGATGAGTTTGGAAGTGTTCCCTCTCTAGTTCTTTGGAAGGTTTGAGAAGGATCGGTATTAGCTCTTCTTTAAATATTTGGTAGAATTTACCATTAAAGCCAGCTGGTCCTGGAAATAACTTTCAGTGTGGAAATGCCTGCTCTGAATTACTAGAGCACATGATGTATTTTAAGAGGCAGTGGCAACAGATAATATCTCTAATATCCATGACTCAACCAAATAAAAAAATGTGGTTGGCATTTTCTCATTAATGAGCACTTACCTCAAAACATTTCACGAGAGAAATACTAGCCCAGTTATTTCCTTTCCTTTGCCCACCCTTAATTGTCATAACACAGGTTGGATATATTTTTATACTTGTGTTTTAATCCTATTTTCTCCAAAGCTTTTTTCTCTATACTAAATTTTTAAAAGTTTCCTTGCATGTAGCCATTATGTGTATTTATTTTCCTGGTGAATCACAAACCTTTAATAAAAGCAAATCTAGGACTGTATATTGCCTGGGAAAAAAGAGATTCCCATTCCCACATATATCATCAACTGCAATGGAAAAATACCCCCAAACTTTGCAGGGTTCTATTAGAAAAGGAATTCTGTTTAATTCCTTGAGTAATAGCATGGGATTAGTAGTTTTAAACTCAGTAAATAAAACCTTTACATCTGCAAAGCCACAGGTTATCATCAGCTAATAACTTCATAGTGACATATAGGTAGGTCAGATGTTAATGAGGTAAACTTTACACAGATTTGTGGACAGAATGTGTGGCTTATCTGATAAAATAAGCAAATACTAATATTTTAAGGTTAGGGTTAAAAGTTACAGGAGGTTAGAATTGTATAGTGTTTTTCCCCTTGTATAATTTTGTTTCTTCTACCAGTCATGGAAAACAAATGTAATAAAATATTTACCTAGAGATATAGTTAATAGTGGATATAGCACTTAAATAATTTTGATTATTT